TGTAAAGGCTTAAGCCCGTGACTTAGCAACATCGTACAAGGACTGGATTTCACACTACCCTCGATTGCTTCCTGAAGAAAGCACCTAAAATATCTCATTCTTGCCCTGACACAATGCAGCTTGCACACGATTTGTGCACTGCCTTCTGAATGACTCCTAGAGGAGTGACCAGGAAAACATTCCTTACCCATGCCCCTGCAGACAGAAAAACATGGTCTGCTACTTTTCATCTCAAAGGAAGCCAGTTCCCAGAAAAAAATAGTCTTAATTTGCTGTCCTCTGAAATAATTTTCTTCAATATTAAGTAAATTACCAAAAGAAACAAACAAGCAAGGAAATAATAAAAATTTAACTCTAATTTATTTATCACAACTTTAGTCTCAGCAACAGCAACTATGCTGAATAACATTTCAGTTCTAAGACAGAGAAAATACTGATTTTACACAGTGGTTTTTAAAATACATTTTAACAACAGCATATTCTTTTATATTATTTGACTAGAAACATTTTGAGAGTGAATAGATTAAGGCAACATTAAAAACTATAACTAGAAATAGAAGTACTTGATTAAAAAAATAAATGCATATATTTTTCTTTTGCCACCACTCTTCAGCTAAAGCTGGTGAGTAGAGCAGTGGTTCTTCCCTGTGTTGAACTGAGTTACCTGACAACACGGATAGCAGCAGCAGACTTAGAAGTATCTCATTCTAAAAAATCTAGACTAATGAAAAAAAAATTTCTTCTATTCTGATGGACCCTTCTCAAACCCCAGATTTCTAAGAGACCGATATAATCAATTTTTTTCTTGTTAAAGCCTAAAAGCTTTGATACAGTTAAACAGAACCTGATAAAGATGTATAATTTAATAAGAATTTAAACCCAGAAATAGAACAAACATCCTTATTAAGCTTCTGCTACAGTACAAGCTTCTTGCATCAGTACAAGTCCAGACCTTGGAGAGCTGTACATAGGGGTGAGAACAGGATTCTTTATTACAGAATTTCCAGTGTCTCCCTTCTATATGCAGTTGCATGTCACTTGGGAACTCTCCAGGTCATCAGTGTTCACTCCATAGAGATCAATAAGTTGAGGATGCACTCTGTGAAGCAAGGAAGTCAAACTTCATCAATCAAATGTCATCAACTCTTGCAAAGGGTGTGCTGCTTTTTGAGGTTGGCAAGGAGAATGAATATGTATGAGCTTTTATATGAAAATAATAAATCAGGGTGAATTAACAATTCAGGATAACAAAAATAGGATCATCTTTAGAAGAATATATTATATATCCTACAACATGATCTGCCTTTTATTTTACATACCAGACTGAGCTATGTGCCTTCAACTAATCCTGTGTGCACTGCAGAAAAATGAGCCACTGCCCATTTAATTCCACTGATAATCTTCCCATTCCCTATGTATTTGTGGTCTCATTCTTAGATGCTGGATATGCAGACTATTCTCAAGCAGCATTAAGTTTTCCAGAACTGAAGAACTACATGTTTTTCTTAACCTGACATGTGCTGCTTTCCAAGTAGGAATCCTTGTCCCAAAAGGAGTTCCTCATGGGAGACACATCTCATGGGAGACACATTATATACATCTGTTCTCCAAGAAATGGAAGGGTAAAGTAACAGGAAAGAAGAAACAAGAAGTAGTAAAATAACAAGAAGGAAGAGAACTGCAGTGGAAGCTGATGAAGCACCAGGATGGAAAGGCCATGTGAGTTATAACAAACCTTTCCAAAGATGAACACAAGGCAACCAAGGCAGAGGCCCAGACAATGTTGAAGGGCCAGACCCTGCAGCGGACAGTGGTTCTATTGTAGGAGCATTTAAAGCACCTAACTCTGGTACCATCTGTGCTCTAGAAATGCAAAACTCCTAAGACTGCAGCACTAATCTCTTATGGGTATATGGTCCCTGAATGGGATATTTAACCTTACCGGACATGAACTTCTGATGCTTCCTTCATTAACTTCTGATGCTTCCTTCATTAAGTCCCCATCTATATTCCAAGGGTAGTTTCCTTCTGCATTCAGACACACATTTTCCTTGGCATCAGGTCCACTTTTCAGCCTTGGTTGTACTTTTACTTCTTGAACTGTGTAGGTCTCAACAAAGGGAAAATTGAACTAAACCAAACACAGACAACAAAAAAGATGAAAGATATGGGCGGTAGCTTAAAACAAAATGGGTTACTTGAAATCAAAAAGCTGGCTGTCTTGGTTTTTTTTTTGTCCTAAGTGGGAACATTTAACTCAAGCTTTGACCACATGAGCTATTGTATATTCCAGCTAGCATTCATAGATTAACATGATGTTTTTATCCTAAATAGTGCCTCAGGAAAAAATGGTAGTGTTCCATTTGTTTTCCCATATTGGACTTGATCAACCAGTAGGTAAGGGGGTTTACTTTGTGCATATCAAATACTTTCAGAATATGTGAAAGTCCAAGACGATTGTTTCCTGTGCTCTGTTCATCATTACCAGTGATCTTGTCCTACACCAGGCTAGCTTAGAATTCTAGTAAATGGTTGTCAAGCTTAAAGGAGGACCCACATCTCCTTGTCTGATTTATAACTACAAAGGCAGAGAGAAAAGCAAGGCCTTCCTCCAAATGCATAACGTAAAGCTTAAGCTATTTCCTCAAGTCAGCCATTAATGCTGTCACCTGGAATTGTCACCCATCTCTCCCCCAAATTCTCTGGCTGTAGATGGATTCAAATCCAAACCTTCCTGTTAAAGTTATTTCACATAATCCTGGAACATTTGAATGAGTACCAGTGTGTTTGGGCCATGCAGTGGGGCTTTAGGCAACAGTAAGATCAGTGTTTGAATTCTTCACTTTTCTCTTCCGAGACAGAATTATGACTACACTTTTGAAATACAGTTCTGCAAACATCATAACTAAACAGGATGCATACCTGCTAAAAATCAATGCT